TCTAGTTCTGGGTGCCGCACTTCAAGAGGGATGTGGAGAGGGTCCAGAGGAGGGCCACCCGCATGATAAGGGGGCAGCAGGGCAGGCCCTACGAGGAGAGGCTACAGGACCTGAACCTATTCAGCCTCTACAAGAGGGGGGATCTAGTGGCCATTTATAAACTAGTCAGAGGGGACCAGCAGGCACTGGGGGAGTCCCTGTTTCCCCAAGCATTACCAGGAGTGACTAGAAATAACGGTCACAAGCTGGCAGAGGATAGATATCAGGAGGCTAGATTTAGGTTAGATATCAGGAGGCGCTACTTCACTGTCAGGGCGGCTAGGATCTGGAACCAACTTCCAAGCGAAGTGGTGCTTGCTCCTACCCTGGGGGTCTTTAAGACAAGGCTCGACAATCACTTTGCTGGGGTCATTTGACCCCAATACTCTTTCCTGCCATGGCAGGGGGTTGGACTTGATGATCTGTTCAGGTCCCTTCCGACCCTACTAACTATGAAACTATATTCCACTCATTGCCAACCAGGCTTTAGCTTGCAGACAGCTGAAATCCTGAATCCTGCCTTCTTTTTAACTGTGTTTTCATGTTATTAGATTAGTGCACTGATGGAATGTGGTAACATATCCTCCTTAACAGGGTGCCATACTTGAACACAAACATAACTAATTAAGTGCTTTCTCCCTCCCATGTCTAATCTTAGGGAGCCAGCATTTTCTGTGTCTATGGCTGTTGCATATCTTGATTTCAGTTTTATCTATCTTTTGACAGATTTCCTGCCCCGGCCTTGCAGGAGAACTTTCAGTCAGTATTAGCACTGCTGAAGGAATCTGTTCAATTGAACTTGGCTCCCCCTGGATATTTCCTGCTTCTCAGGTACAGCCTAAGAGCAGCTGAGAGTATGAATATATTGAGTAAAACTCTCCATTTCACTAACTTGAGGTGAATTCTTTTTCTCCTGCAGTACCCTAAATGACTTTGTGACCAGAACACCTACCCTAGAAAACAAAAAGGATCAAAAAGACCTGCAGGTACTACATGAACTTTTTTTTCACAGACCTAGCACAACAGTGTTTGAGTTTTATACCATACTTTTGAGGTCCAGTAAGGGTGTGAGCATATGGAAAATGTTACTTTTCATCTGGTTTGGAATTTTGTCCAAAATATACACAAATGTGACCTGTCCTGATGCTGACTAGCCAAACTGTGTTCCCCACACATATTTTGGTGATGTTATCCTCCAGGTTTAAATCCATAGTACAACTATGACATCACCAGAATATGTGATTTATGTAGTTGCTGAAATTTTGTCAAAAGTGACTAGTGAAACGAGTCTGTCTACTTCCACTAAAGTCACTGGGAGTTTTGTGGCAAATGGCTTTGATTTAGTCATCTAAATAGTCAAACTATCTACCATGGAAATAAGATGAGGATAAACATAAGATTCTTCCTCCTCTTGTTCAGATTCTCTGGGATAGTTCAGGCCCTACAGGTGTCATATCCAGCTTTTGACTGTGAATTTGAGAAGAGATTTTCAATACAGAAGCTATTTCATGGTCATGATTGATGGTGATAGATCTAGTTGCTTTCTCCAATTCTGCTGCAAAAATTGGCCAGAAAGGTGACTACATAGTGAGCTGTTTGCATTTCATAGCAGCTCTGTTGCTGTGGGAAGAGAAAGCCAAAGTGTCTGACCCCTTCTGCATTTACTGGAAGTAGCACGGCTGCTGAAATGTGAGGCTGAAAGAAGGGCATATCTTAGCCATATCTAAAAGAAAAAGTTGATAGTTTTCAGATTGCTCAGTTTAGACTACAGGAAAATGAGGCACAATGGTGCAACTTATTTCAAAAGTTGGAAGACAAATTCAGAGCAAACAAATCTTTGAAAGAACTCCTAAATTGTGCAGTTTGACTGCAGTCTTCATTTGAGACTACTGTAAGTGCTTCAGTAGAATTGAAAAAACATCTTTATCAGATGGTTTATGTGGGTCGGCAAGAGGAGAAAGTTGAGAAGCCAGAGGAGAAAAGCTCCTTAAAACTTAGTATCCTCACTGGTTTATATGATGCTTACTGAGCTTTACTTTGCATGGAAAGCAAAACCAAAATGGGATGGTTATTTTCCTTTCTAAGTCTTTGATAAAACTTGCATATAAACATTTGAGTAAAAGGTTTTGCATCCACCCTGCAAAGATCATAAATAAGGATAACCCATAAGGATGTCACTAGTACCTGTATGTTATTCCACTCTGAGCTGGCCAGATGCCAAAAACTGTTCTCAAATATAGGGTTATGTTGGTTACTTTTTTAGGAGGTCACCCAAAAAATCTTAGAAGCTGTGGGGAACATTGCTGGTTCCTCTCTGGAACAGACGAGCTGGCTAAGCCGGAATCTGGAAGTAAAAGCACAGCCTCAGATCTCTTTAGACGAATCCCAGGTTGAAGATACTTGTGGTAAGCATCAGATCTTTTGGCCAGCTTTTCTGTACCGCATATAATAAGTTTTAGTGAATATCTAGCATTTTGCTGTGGTGAAAATAATTCTTTTTCATACAAGTTTTTTAAATTGAAAAAATGCAGTCCCAAGAGCGCATGTTGTCACAATTTAAATTTTAAGAAGATCAAATATTGCAAGTGTCATTTAGTAAGTATTTGTATATCACATGATTAATATTGGAGAAGTATTGATGTACATGTACATAATGTATTTTCAGTGTTCTAGAAATTGGCATCATTATAAATTCAAAATTCAAAAAGCATAGAAACTACTTTCATAATGAGAGAATGTGTTTGTCATCATTGCTTTCTCGTTTATAAGGTACTGATCATTTTGCTTTTTCTGCTCCGGTATGCTTTAGTACATGGGCGGGCAAAGTCTGGCCTGTGGGCCAGATGGGGCCTGTAGTGGACTCCATTTCCCAGCAGCCCCTGCCATATCACTGCTGCCAGTTTCTGTGGCAACCCCAGCACCGGGGTGCTGTGACAGCACAGGGCCAGGTTTCCATGGAGACCTCTGCCCTGGCTCTGGACCACGCTGTCACCACTGCAAGATCCTAGCACTGGCTGCAGAGCAGCCCTCTGTCCAACTGCGCACCCAGACAGTGCTGCTGGAGCTGGTCTTCACATGGAAATCTGGGCCCTGCCTGTCACGGCACAGCCGCTGCTGGGGTTGCCATGGAAACTTGCCACAGATGTGGGCAGGGGCTGCTGGGAAATGGAATCCAGCTGCCAGCCGGATCCACCATTTTGCCCACCCCTGCTTTACTATATACATCCATTTAAGTGGTGGTGTTTTCAAACTGAGGCTTGAAAAGTTTAGCGTCATTATTCATTTTTAGTTATGTGAGGTATTGCAATGTATTATGTGATATGAACTAGTAAAGGATATAAATAGGCTTTAAAAAGCCTACTTGGAATAGAGGATAACAGACATAACTAACACTTTTTCTAAAAAAAGCCTTTAAAAGAGTATTAAATTTCATTTTTTTCCAAAATACATGCATTTCCAAAGTTTTATTTTTTTATTTCAAACTGTTGGAAAATGTTTAGCAAAATTAGGCATTCGAACAATAATGTTCCCACTGTGTTCAAACTGGATCCGTAAAGTTTGCCTTTTCTCTCTTCTTTTTAACTAAGGAACTTGGTAATGGGTAACTTATATACAGTTAATACTTTTATGTTAGAATTTTGCAGGTTATCTCTTCAAAAACTTAAATTTGGCAAAACCTCTCTGCTTGTACATTGCGCATAGGTAGTATAGTAATTTGTGTATAAGAATGCAGTGGTGACATAGGTGCCCATCTCAACTAATAGCGATAATCTATTTTTCTTATTCTTTAAATAACTGAGACTAGAATCTTGCATCTGTAGATATGATTGTTTGATGACATTCACCTTTTTGGAAACAATGGTATGTGCTCATAGCTTTCAAGAAGTTTTAAAATGATCCAATAATGTTTAATTCTTCTGAGATTGTGAGTGGACGTTAAGTATATGTAGAGATGAGCAGGTTTCAAGTAGTACTTTACTCCAAGTCAATATGCAAATTATAAACCTGATTATAAGCAATAAACTGTAAAACCATGTTCTGTTTTTGCAGATACTTCAATAGCTCCATCTTCAATGGTCTCTGCCTCTGCCCCTTCAATATACAGTGTTCAAGCTCTCTCTCTCCTTGCAGAGGTAAGGTGAACATTTTGTGCTTCTCCTTTAAATAGGAACCACTTATGTAGTTGCCATTTTTATCGACAGAGTAATTACCAGCTGAAACTGCTGAAAACAAAGGTGCTCTTTTTATTTTCTGGCATAATACTAAAAATTAAAAGATCACCCTTTTTGAGTTTTGTGAAATACAGTATATGCTCACTCCCCTCCAAAAATGCCTGCTTCAGGTTAGTGTGGGACTTTTTTTTTTTAAAAGGTTTTGGCTTCTCTCTTGGACATGGTTTATCGTAGTGATGAGAAAGAGAAAGCTGTGCCACTGATCTCACGTTTGCTCTATTATGTGTTTCCGTATTTACGCAATCACAGGTAAGAGGACTTGATGTTCATCTTATTTCTTTTATATCATGTCAGAATTACATCTGATCTTTGGGGCATGTTGCAAGCCTCATTTTATTCATTCCCTCCTTGGCATTTCTAACATGAGGGCAAAGGGTGAATTCTAAGGGCTGCAGTCTTGTTTGAGGTTGAAAAGGATTTGTGGAAAGTTGTCTTAAAATACATCTTTAGTGCAGTAATTCAGGTGGTGTCAAGGGTATCTGTAAGATGCCTTTTTTAGTTTTTTTTTTTTTTTTTTTTTTTTTTTTTTTAA